AAAACAAATTACTTAATATGTAAATGTCTATAAATTATAAAAGAAATAATAAATATAAACCTTAAATTACTCCACGGATCAAAATCTAATAATGAAGCATTTATAAAAGAGGTAATTTAAGGTTTATATTTATTATTTCTTTTATAATTTATAGACATTTACATATTAAGTAATTTGTTTTATATTTTGTTTTAATCTTAAAGTTAAAAGCGTATTGTGATATTAGTTCCAAACATCCATTATTTTTAAAATGCTATGGTATATCAAAAGATGATTCTTCCGAAGATTATATTCTTGTTTTAAATTACGCGGAAATGGGATCTTTGCGCCAAAACCTTCACGCTGTATCAAAAATGAAATGGAAGGATAAATTAGTTTTATTAGATTGTATTGCTTCAGATCTTCAAATAATTCACTCTCAAAATCTTATTCATCGAGATTTACATAGTGGTAATATTTTACTAGATGAATTACATATCGCTTATATTGCAGACTTGGGACTTTCAATATCAACAAATATAGCACAAATTACAGAAAAGCGCGGCGTTTATGGAATTTTGCCATATATAGCACCAGAATCTTTAGACAGTGGACAGTATACAACGGAGTCTGATATTTACTCATTTGGAATAATTATGTGGGAAATTTTGTATGGGAATTCTGTATCTTATAATCAAGATTTTGGAACACAACTCCAATTAGAAATCTGCAATAATGATTTACGACCAACTATTATTAATGACACTCCACAATGCTATATAAACCTAATGAAGAGATGTTGGGAAAAACAACCAATAGACCGCCCATCAGCAATAGAAATTTGTGAAGTTCTTACAGAATGGCAGAATGATGAAACTATTTTATCTGAATTAATTAGTTCTGATGAAATATTAGAAAAAATTAATAGCACACCTTATCCTGTTGACCTTTATAAAAGCAAATTTATTAAATATACTTCATTACTTTATCAAGGTATCTACTTTTTTCTTGTTTAAATAAAATTTTTTGATTATAATTAATATTAATTGTAATTAACAGATAACGAACAGAATGAGTTAAATATTACTTGATTATAAACAATCACGCCATAAATATCAATTAAGATATAGTCATTCAGGCTCTAGCAATTCTATTTTCCTAGTTGCGTTAGAATTTTAATGCGGGTATAAATAATGTAATTTGGATCTATTTCATGTATGATTTTTAAAATTTTTTGGTCTTTTTTGTCAGTTTTGTTTTATGGTTAAATTAGGATTTATGGTTAGAGTTATTAATAAATGAGCATAGGTGGATTTTGTCAGGCTTATATTTTCAAATTGAGACCCAAAATTTCAGCATCATTCGATTTTAAAGCATTTTCAAGGACTGATGAACCATACTCTGTGGAGTATTGCAGTTTTTCGCTTCGCGGCAATCTATTGAACTATAGTCGTGCCTAGTGTTGTTAGGCGAAACCTCGAGGTTTTGCCACAGGCGAAAGGAGAAACCTAGTTTCGACTTTCGCCAAAAAAAATTAAAATGGTGAAATGGCGAAACTGGCGAAACTGGCGAAACTGGCGAAACTAATAAAAGGTGGCGAAACTGGTAAAGTGAATATTGATAAAATAAAAGAGCGCAAATGTATTTTGTCTGAAAAAAGAAATATTGAAATGATGAAGTCTGAGAAATTGCATTTCAGGAAGCTGAATTACAGAAAAGAAAGCAACAACAGTAAAAACTGTATTCATGAAAATTACTACCTGGGTAACCTACCCACATATGACCAGATTTGGATTTCAAAATGGATACAATCACTACTTTTATCATAGGCTCTTATCTAACTCTAGCATTTAATTTGACATAAATGTATAATTATGCTGTCATATACGATGCTTCTTAATCAACAATCTAAATTTTACATTTGATCTACTGTATTATTATAGGTCAATGACATAGCTTATTTTCTTAAAGTTAGCCCTGAGATTTAGGGCTAGATAAATTAGAGAATCAGAAATAATTGTCAGTGATAATAATGTTAACGAACTACAGTCAGACTTCTCTAAGCGCGCCCTCTCTAAGTGCACACCCTCTCTAAATACACGCTCAGATTCTTGTACAAATTTATACTTGACTACTATAAGTGCACTTTTTCTTATTATTCTCTAAATGCATGTTGTTAAATTGTGGTTCCAAGGGAGTGCACTTAGAGAGGTTTGGCTGTATTTTCTAAATGCACGCTGTCAAATTGTGGTCCCAATGGCATGCACTTAGAGAGGTCTGACTGTACTTACACATGTATAGTACTTAAAGGAAGTGTTAAAGAGAAAAAATCTTAACAATATAACAATAAAATTTACTTAAATATTTAGATAAATTTCTTTTATATGGCTGAGTTGATTTAATTATAAGTTTAAAGGTCTGAGGTCTAATTTTCCTTTAATATTATTCAAATACAAACAAAAAGCTATTACATTACTTGTTTTTGTACATTTTTTTATATAAATCATATACTATGCTTATTAGCCATGTGCAAAATATTTTGATTTACTAACATGGCTCAGTCATTTTTAAGACTTAGAGGATTTGATATTTGAATTTCTCTAGGGGTTTCATCTTTACCAATGGTTTCAACAAGATTTTGCCAGAGTTTAACCATTTTGCCAAAATTTCTCCAGTTTCTTCTTTCAACATTTTCCAAAAATAGTTTCACCTAACAACAATAAGCTATACACAAATAATTTTCATCAAAAGTTTGAAGTTTAATGTTCTTTTAATAGTACTAGAATATACAAACAAAAGCTATCACCTTATTTATTGCTTTTTTTATACATTTTTTATATAAGTCACATGCTGTATTTAATAGCTATACAAAATATTTTCATTCACCAACATGGCTTAGTCTTTTCCAAAGTCTTAAAGGATTTGATCTTTGCTGGGTTTTGACTTTCTCTGAGGTTTTGCCAGGTTTCACTAGTTTCACCAGGGTTTTTGCCTTTCACCAGGTGTTTTGCCTTTCACCAGAGTTTTGCCACTTTCGACTTTCGCTAAGTTTAAGTTTCATCTTTTGCCATTTGCACAAAACAGTTTCACCTAACAACTGTAGTCATGCTACAAAAATTTGGCATTCTTATGACATCCAAACTATACTAAAGTATTAACCTGATCTTATCACATTCCAGATAATCTTCTGGATTATATAGTTGCAACTTGTAAAAACTAGTCAAAGAATCGATTTTTTTACACTAACTGCTGACTCGATTTTTTGGATTTATCAGCTCAAATATCAGGGACCAAAAAATTTTATAGCATGAAATTGTTTCTCTAAAAAATGCAGTGTATAGGAGGATTATCCACACATGTGTTTTCCAGGCCTCTGCTCGACCCTCATATATTAGTACAATACATACCATTTCAGATTTCTAAGTTCCGTTTCAAAGCATTTTCTTGACTTGAGCTGTAACTACCTCATAATCGTCAACATTATTTTTATCATTACATGAATATTGATGAAAATAATTCAATATTGAATTTCGATTTGGTAGCAATCTAAAAAATTCAAAAACAAACGTTCATTTTTTGTCAAAAATCGCTTATAACTAAACTCAGCATAGTTTGGTCAGTTACTGCATATTAACAAAAAGTTTTTCTTGAACAATTTTACTGTTAGAATACTAAAATAGGCCCTAACCCCTAATTTAAAGAAATTTGTCAAGATCTCATGTAATTGTAAATTTTGTTGGGAAGATTTTGAGCTGTTGGATGATCACATGTGCAGACAATTCACTCTAAAAAATAGATGCTAATGAAACTGGTGAAACTGTGATGATATTAGTAAAACTGGTAAATTTGATAAAATTTTAGATAGTTTCACCAGAATTATTTAAATTATTTTGTTTACTAGCATCTATATTTCGCATATCAATTTGTAAATTTATATTTAATAATTAGCTAAACTAATCCAATCACACAATTCACAATTCGTTATTTATAGTTAACTGCATGACATTATCACTTAAAACTAGTAATGGAATTTAACTAATTACTAGGAATGTTATTCTGCTTGTTCAACTCAGTTCGGGCCTTTTGTCTCTCATCAGGAGTAATTAAAAGAAAAACTATGAAATACAGCTATGGGTTTATCTGTTCCTTACGCCTTCATGCTATTGTGCTATAATACAAATACAAAATTTAAGAGTATCGCATAAACAACTTATGTTACTATCTACTACATGTGCGATTGTGCTACTATGCTAACTATGCTAATAACTTGGAGCAAGTCAAAAAAAACTAAAATTCTTGAAAAAACTCTGCCGCAAACAAGAAATCTTATATGACTGTCGTCCTGACAGGCCACTCTAAACTTAAAAAACTCAAAATAAATGTAACTGTTGTCTCAACAGATCAGTACAACAAAACTCAAAAATAAAACTGTCATCCTGACAGGCCACCCTAAACTTAAAAACTAACCATGCTGCTAATTTAGCAGGCAGTGCAAAAAAAAAACCTTCAGAATTCTGGAAATAACCCTGCTGCAACCAAGAAATCTCATGTAATTGTCATCCGACAGGCTACCTCTATGTAAAAACATAAAAAATTTCTTCATATCTGTCATCCTGGCAGGGTGCTTAAATATTCACAAAAAAACTCAGGAAAACCTCGTGACTATTGTCCTGACAAGTCACTTTCAATGGAAACAAAAAATTTATGACAGTCATTTAACAGACTATAACTAATAAAAAAACAAATAAAACACATAACACCGGAGACCAATGAGTTATTATACGAAATCTGTATAAGGGCCAAGTAGGGTGGGGTGAAAAAAACAGACAAAGTTGGGTTAGCTGAAAAAACAAAAAATAATCTTCATAACAAAAACCCCATTTCTCATAAATACTAACTAACGATTACTAATCAAAATTACTGTCATTATATCACTAAAAATTAATAAAAAAAAAGTTATATGGAAGTCAATCACCAATAAATCAATAAATCACATAGAAGACAATACTCAATAGATCAATTAATAAATCAATGATTACAACAATGAAATATATTACTAACATATTCTGTGTTCGATTCAAGACAAAATGCTGCTCCAATACTATCATATTGGACAGGTAAATTTGTCTCTCATTGAGGGTAATTAAAAGAAAAACTATAAAATACAGCTATGGATCTTGCTGAGCATCACTATTCAAGTTGTTTTTTCATTTTAGTAGTCAAAACCTAATAGTCTCAATGCTTCCATCTCGGCTATACTGATTGCCCTCATATACAATTGTATTACCCCTGATGACCAGCCACTGATTGACTAAACTTGCTTCATTGTTATTTCTCCCTGCATGGCTGCTATTGCACTCCAATCCTTAAACTATATGTGGTATATTTCCTATGCAGCCCTGCATTCTCAGCAAAACATTTAACTATTGCTGAAACAGCTGCTACAGACAGCTTCTTTCTCATTTTTGACAAGAACAAAGGTTCTTCCAATGGTGTATTGAACCTTACCTTTAAATACAAGTTCAATAATTTCACCAGATGCTTACTTGGTGTTCTTTCTAACAGAATAAACTTTTTCTTTCCTAACTGATCTGTTTTAGACTTTGCAATCCTAAACCACAGCTTCCTGTCACTTTTCAATACATCAGACCTCTTCAAATTACACAGCTCTACTGGTTTTTATATCAACCTTAATCCCAAAGCTACTAAAGCTAAGTCTCGTGCCCAAAACTCCATATTGATCCCTGACGGTGGACACTCCATATACTGTCTAATTACGCCAACTAGTAGT